GTATTACTGTACTCAAAGACCTGTTGAAAAATCAGTGCGATGCTATATGTAAACTTATATGCACCTGCCTTTCTTTTGGGAGCACTCTAAAACCTCATCTGGTATGGTTTTAACTAGTATGAAAGTAATCTCCTTTGCAGGACATGGATCCTCTTCACATCCCTGTTGGATTACCTCCCACCAGCACCACTCAGGCTGCGGAGCCCTCACCTGCGGCGCTGACCTGTACGCCCTTGTATTTGGATGCACAGTCCTGCTTAACACCAGCTGTGTACAGGTGTGAAGGACTTCTTTAAGTGGAGGACCCCACTCACCAAATAATCCATCTTGTTCTGCAGGACAGCTTTTTGTCATCATATTTCCTCCTCCACCTCTCTTTATGCTACCTGCACACTAACAGTTTTGATTTTTCATTTACATCAAAGTTCCAATAGAGAAGCCCTTCAAGCCTTGAAAAGCTGCTTCCTATAAGCTCTCCCCTTCCTTTGCTCTCAAGGAAAAAGGCTCTGTTCAGCAGTCTCCCTCACTAGCAGCAACTTTTTTTAATCCAGCTAAGGCAGACCCCACTGATACAGGAGGGGGCTATTTTTAAACAGTGTCCTGACATACTAAGTCAAACACCCGATGACATTTAGGTAATGTTAGATCCAGCCCACCAAAGTCATAATCTCATAGAAAAAGCAAGAATGATCTTGGTCTACTGGAGGTATCTTTGATATGGCTACTGGAATGTCAATAGTTACCTTGCTTTAATGCTTCAATGAACTCTTGGTTCTCAGAGCTGGGCACTGGTTTTACTTCCTAAAAAATCAGTACATTTTAGTAGCTTCTCAGTTGAATCTATAGGCCAGACATGTCCTTAACCTGAAAACCTCCTCTAGCTCCCACGTTGTCTTTTTCTCCAGTGGACAATTTTTCCTCAGTGCTGTCCCTCAATGATTGCCTTTAGTTCACTACATCATATGTACATCTGTACCCCAGATACACTGATATACACTCAGTGCCCCCACTTCCCAGATTTATGCCTGCTAGCTAAGCGATGGAAAACATGTACATGTCAAAAATGCTTGTCTATATTTAGATCACTATCTGGTGGTGATCCCCGCAGTCACAGAGACATAGAATAAATTGTGGAGCCACACACTTTATTTATCCAAAACGTGATCAACTAACTCAGCTCACCTGTCCCCTGGCCACTGAACATGCTTCCTCTGGGACTTTTTGCATTCCAAACTCCAGAGCAACTCAGAGCAGGCATACTTTTCAAAGCCACAAAAACGTTTCCTTTTTCACCCAAAATTTTACCCTCCCACCCCCTTTCTGGAAAAGAGCAGGCGCAAGCACTGAAGTATGCTGTAGGAAAAAGCCCAGAGAGAGCACAGCTTCTGACCTCCTCTTTTAACCTCTTGCTTGTCTCCTGCAAGGCATCTTCTCCCAGCGCTCTGAGCGGGCACTGCTTGTCTCTGTCAGAGCAGCAGATCGGTGCTGTGGTGATTTAGGGTCAGGCTCAAACAGACACCTCTTAAGAGTGGTGTGGCATGACAGAAAGATTTACCAGCATCTGTCTGTGACACACGTGACACGCAAGTGGCGAGATGTGATCTGACCTCTGCTCAAGGAAGGATCAGAAAAGCAATGGCTCCTGGCCATCACAGGACCCCCCCAGGACACAGAATTTGTGCTTTCCTCCCAAGCAGAGAGAACAGGGTTCCACTTTTCAGTAGGTGTCTCACATCTTCCCACTTCTCAAACTGGACTGCCACAGTCCTCTGAGATTTACACACTCTGTAGTCTCTCAGTTTGTGAATTTCAGGAACTTCAAAAACAGATAGAAAAATCACAGCTTAAGCATGTACAATGATATTAAAAACCACATACATTTAAAGCTTCTCTTTTTCTTTTTTTTTCTTAGAATAACACATTCTATTTTTTAAAGACTGACTTAGCTCTTTCTTGCCCTGCTAAACCAAGTTCTCCTCAATCTCGCATCCAAGTTCTCCTCAATCTTGCATGCATCCCTATCAGCTCTCTGAGACAAGGGCAAAGTCCATTATTCACAGCTTACAGATGGAAAATGAATGCACAGAGAGGCTAAGTACTTGCTTCTGGCAAAACAAGTGGCTAACTCATGTTCACCAAGGTTTAGATTAATGTCCTAACAGTTAGACCCCTTTTTTCCTCTTCCCATGACACTTGCCTCTGTGCCAGACAGGCATATATTAAAAGCTGTGATTAGTCAGAGCAACAAAGTACAAAATCAAACTCTTCAAAAGGCATCAGCCTTCTGGTGTATATATTCATATTCCCATGTTTGGATTTTGTTTTCCTTAAATACTTCGTGATGCAGAATTACAATTTACTCTGCCTGTCCTCCTGGCAGGCTCATTTGCCGCGGTGATTATGGAAGCAAGAACAAACTCACAGGCAACAGTTGTGTGGAAGTCCCAGCGGTAAATGGATTTCTTTCTATATGCCTAGCATTCAGCCAGATTGACCAGAGAGGGCTGGTGTAAGCTTCTGCTCCTCTGCGTGAGATATTGCAGCTTCTCAAACTAGAGAGACCACCACCAAGCTGAACTGAAATGCCACCTTTTCCGTCTTCTAAGAAGGGCCATGCAACTTGCAGAAGAGAAATGCCTAACTTGTGTCACGTCACTCATCCTCACGGAGCAAAGCTTGTACTAGAAACAAACTTCTCTGCATTCTGACAAACATTTGCAGCAGCCTTAGCACAGGAGAAAAGTCACCTAACAAGCTTACGCAGAAAACCTGTTGCTCTGCAGGGTGGTAAGCAAACAAGTCAGTTCGTGGAACCACATCCAAGCTTAAAATAAGGCTAAATATTTTTGAAGCTGGAGTAAAATTATTTCAATCTAATTCACAGCCTACATTGCTATCCTATGTTTTATTTGTTGCCTGAAATAGAAAACAAAAAGGAAATGCATATAGAAAATGAAGATCCAGATTCTCAAGGCCTTCTTTCATACCAGCATAAACCTACTCTAAAAAGCTGCAATATACCAGGTGATAATTTTACATCCATAATGGCCTCATTGGTGTGAAATGCAAAGCAGGAAGAAGCAGCAGAGCATCTGATCTACTTTGGTGAGAGGTTTAAGCACATCATGTGGAGCAGAAAAGGGTACAACTTGGTTTTCTATTATACAGCAGTCAAAAGAAGCTGCAATAATGTAAACCTTTTTTTTTTTTTTTTTTTTTTTGGGAGGCTGAGTTTTTCCACTGTTCACAAAAAGAGATTATTTGCTGAGTTCATGGAGGAAGACAATACCCAGTAGACTGGGTATTGTAGACACAGCTACCTGGAATATATATATTAGCCATATAGCACCATTTAAGGAAATCCATCAAGACTTTTTCTTTCTTTTTTTTTTTTTTTTTTTTTTTTTTTTTTTTTTTTATGTGGAGACGGAAGTTTTTCAGAGCTATGCAGAGCAGCAATGCATGGAGCAGCTCTGCAGAATGGTTCTGCCATACAGGAATCCCAAACCCAAAGCAGTGGCGAGGGTGGCTGCCGAGAGGGAATGTTCCCGGGTTGTTTCCATTTGGAGATTTGGCAATGCCTATGCTGACAGAAAACTGTGAACCAGCTTAAAAATATGCATCTACTTCCCACTGCCTGAAAATTAAACAGTTACGATACCCCCTCCCCATTCCCATCCCTATCAAATGATATAATTTGTTCTTTTTTAGGAAGTATTTTAGAGAAAGAAACCCCCCGCAATCTATTTGTTTTACGTCGGGTTATTTTAAATCTCCACGGACCTATTAGGGGACTTAAAGAAAACAGCTTGGAACAGCAGCAGCAGCAGCAGCCATTCCTCTTTACTACAAAGGAAATCTGTGATCTCTGCCGGCGCTACAGTAAAACGCGGCATCTGTTGATCACTGGGGGGAAACGGGGGAAAGGCACGTAAAACCCATGGGGTTTTCTGCTGTTCTGCTGTCTCCTGTCATCTCCCTGCAGACCTCCAGGTGTGCGGTCCCCGGCACGGACCGTGCCACCCGACCGGGACCGGGCACAGCTGCACCAGCATCCCAGCCCAGCCGTGGGGAGGAAGAAGAAGAAGAAGAAGCAGCCGGGTGTCAGTGGAACAAGGGCGGGCTGTGTGGGGCTGGCAGGCTGGCAGCACCCAGGGGAACACAGGCCTTTTGACAGGGCGCCTGTGCCCTGCTTAGGAGACAGATGAGCTGGCAATTTCTGCCTGCCCCGGGGGCGATGGGGTGTTTTAAACACCCAGGCCCAGTCCTCACCAGGTGTCACTGCCCACCTTCCTCTGAGGTCCGCGCCAGCTGAGCCCGTGCCTCACTCCAAATTGTGGTCCTAACCACAAAACCAAAAGTTTTAACTGAAATGGGGTAAAAGCCTGCCTAAACTTTACCCCTGGCAGGGTGCAGCTCGGCAGGGAATTTGCCTGGAAGTATGTGCTCAGCTATGCAGCTGAGGTGACAGTTTAACTAGTAGATCAAATAATTACACAATTTTGATACTGTAGCGTTTGTATTTGATTGTCTTAAAAATTTGTAATACCACAATTACTTTCTGCAGCAAAAGCCACCCTGCAGCAGATCATTTTGTTTAACTTCTTAATCAGCTAAGCTAAAGCTCCCACCATGAGAAAATATCATTTTCAGCAGAGCACTGATTTTCTCCCTCAACCTCCCCCTCCTCCCCACTTATTCCTTCTTTTTCTTCTCCATCATCAATCTCTTAAGCGTGCCACTGTGCATTCACATTTTTCTTTCCGCACGTGTCAGCTCAACGGCTCTTCCTCAGAGCCCTCTTTCTCCGCCAAACCCTGCAAAGCAGACTTTAACCACTCGCTTCCCGAACTGGGGGGGAAACTCCAGGCACAACTTCAGGAAAGCCAGGCTCTCCGGGCGCATCCCAGCCACCCTGATGGAATCCCCCCCCCCAGCTTCTCTCCGCCACCCACCCATAGGGACAAAAGAGCAAGTAAAATGAAATGAAACGGACTTACTGCTATGGCTTGGAGCCTTTCCTTGTGCAACTCTGCTTCCGCCATCCTGGAGAGAAGGACACGGGAGGAGAAAGAGAGGGAGACGGGTGGTGGTGGTGGAGAGGAGGGGGAAAAAAAAAAAAAAAAAGCCAAAAAAGGCAAATAAAAAACCAAGCGGAGCACACACACACACTGCAGTCACCCCCAGGTGGGGGGGGAACTGGAGTTAATTGCAAAGAAAGCCCGGCTCCTGTGTAGTAGCCAGCCACTTTGGGAGGCACTGCAGGCTGTCTCAGGGCAGGATCATTTTAGTCCCTGGAGCGGTGCCTGCCTGGCTGCCTGTCTCCCAGCTGTAGGGCTAACGGCGTGTCATCGCCGCTCCCGTGTGCCGCCGCTGTCACACCAGCCATGTAGGCGCTCGCCCGGCAGCTGAGCGCAGGGAGAGCCTCGCAGGGCTATAATTTTTTCGCCCTTGACGTCTCAGCTCATTTGCTCCTCCTCTGGGGCGCCGGGTCCCCGGCAGGAGCCCTGCGTTGGGGTAGCATGCACGGTCATCCAAACCTGCCCGGGCTGCAGCGGCGGTGGATGGGATGCCCACCTTAAGCCAGCGGGATGGCGAGGATGCTGGCACTCCGGGGTGGCCAGCGGGAGCTGGCACAGCCCCCCCCCAACCAAGAGAAAAGCAGGTTTGGGTCAAGGGAAAAGGACAGGGATGGCTGATGGAGGAGGGAGGACGAGGGACAGCACAGCCGCCGGGGGAAGGCAGCACAACACGCTGGGAAAGGGGGGTGCAGGGCAGCGGGGAAGGGAAGGGGTGTGTGTGCAGGGAGGGGGGATGCGGGAAGGTGTCCCCGCGCCCTGCACGTGCGCTGCGCCCTACAGCGCGGTGTTGGCGTCAGGCACTCCAGAGTGACACAGCTGTACAGAGAAAAACAGTCTGACTGAAGACCCGGGTGTGTTATAAATGGGGAAGGAAGGAGGCGGCTGGGGACGGGAGGCCTGAGCCGGTATCGTGAGGGTACCCTTGATTTCAAGTGTGGCTTCAGTTTGGCATGCAACCTCCTTGCTATTTTCTTTTTTTTCTCTCTCTTTTTTTTTTTTTTTTTTTTACTGTGTCATCTCCCACCTGCTTTCTTTTCTCACAAACAGCAGAGAAGAGCACCCCTCCCCACCACCCCGGCCCCGTGGGGTGAGTATGAGGGTTCCCCAGCGGTGGGATGTCCCCTGAGCCAGGACAGCCACCGCGCCAGCTGCAGGGCTGAGCAGGGGCTGAGCCCAGCACCCTGCTGCCATCCCCCCACAAGGAGCAGAAGTGCATTTTGCAGCACGAAATTTTGGTTTAATAACCCCACGCTGACAAGACGGTAAAACTCCATCATCTTGGGGGGAAAGCAGACTGGAGGTCACCCTGCTTTCCACGTGCCTGCCGTCTCATGTGCCACCCAGCCTGGCATTCCACCTCTCCGCTGACACCCCTGTCTCCTCTCCCAGACATCCTCCACCTCCATTTCCAGCCCCAGGATGTGCTACTTGCTGCAGGATGCTTTCCAAGGCATCTGCTTTCTCAGGATTTTCCACCTCTTGGTCCAATTTCCCTTACTGGTGCCCAGCCTCCTTGTCTCGTGACAGCATGTCAAAGTGACTTCTTGCTTAGCTTTGCCTCCGTGAAAGAGATCCTTTGTTGTGAAGAAAACGCACAGAGCATTATATAATTTCAGTAGTCTCTGTGGCCAAAAGGGAAAGTTTTATTGCCGTGTCCCAAAGGAGGCAGCATCTGTAAGTGGGTGTTGGGGTGGGCGCACAGCTAGGGGAAATGCAACAGTTCCAGCTTAAACTGGGATACCCTTTCAGTCTTCCAGCTTTAAGTAATTTGTCGGATGGCATCTGTCCTTTAGCTTGTTTGATCCCTTTCAGCTTGTTGTTTTTCTTCAAAACCTCTCCTTTTTATTTGTTTTCAGTCGCCACATAAAGGTCCGTGTATTGCTGCTTGCATTACTACAGCTGGTTTTGAAATATCCCGTCACACAGGATCCAGACATCTATACTCCCACATGTTCACTGGGAACACACATGGGCAACTCCTACTAAGACTTCCAAGCTATGCAAATCCCTTCAATACCCTTCTCATGTTTTGCTGTTAAGCCTTGCCAAGGGGAGGAATTCTGCTACAGGCTATATCCAGCAAAGGCAAGGGTATGCCCCAGTGCTGACTGGAGCTGGGACAGGCAACCTATTCACTCCACAATCCGTATACACCTTAGGTGCTGCCAAATGTGTTAGGTGCACCACGGTAGGTCACCCCCTTTTTCCTTCCACCTGGCATCCACTCAGCAAAGCATTTAAACATATGTTTAAGTGCATTCAAGGTAGCTGCGTGTAAAAGTGCATGTGCTCATCTTAATTCTGATATGAAACCTCATGGTGGTTCGTGAAGAACTGCGGCTGAGCTGGGCACTGTGTTGGCCCCAAGTTTATCCTCTCTCCTGTTTAACTGCAGTGCTTGTTGCAGGCGAGGGGTGAGCAGCATGCACCCACGTTGAGTGCTGGGGCATTCCTGGCCCCAGTGAAACAGGCTGCAGGGCTGTGCACCCCTCTCCAGTTGAGTTTGCCAAGGAAATGCACATCCTCAAGGAAATGTGTAGCAACCCACCCTGCTGGGTCTTTACAGTTGTACAGGAATGAGAGAGGATGCATGAGCGGTGGAGAAGCTTCTTGCTGGTGACTTACAGAATCACAGAATCACCATGGTTGGAAGGGACCTCTGAGATCATCGAGTCCAACCTCAAAAAAACCCCAAAAACCAACCCCCCAAAAAAACAAAACTAAAAAAATCACCAACAAAACAAAAACCACAACACCCCACCATATCACACCCACCCACAAACCAATAATCTTGGGCACTAGAGCATGCCCTGGAGAGACAAGTCTACATGTTTGTTAAATACCTCCAGGGATGGTGACTCTACCACCTCCCTGGGCAGGCTGTTCCAGTGCCTGACCACCCTCTCAGTAAAGTAATTCTTCCTAATATCTAATCTAAACCTCCCCTGCTGTAACTTTAGACGATTCCTCCTGATCCCGTCATTATTCCCTTGGGAGAAGAGGCAAACCCCCACCTCTACACCCTCCTTTCAGGGAGTAGTAGAGGGCAATGAGGTCTCCCCTCAGCCTCCTCTTCTCCAAACTAAACATGCCCAGTTCCCTCAGCCTCTCCTCATATGACTTGTTCTCCAGACCCCTCACCAGCTTGGTGGCTCTCCTCTGGACACGCTCCAGCACTTCAATGTCCTTCCTGTAGTGAAGGGCCCAAAAACACAGTAGTGAGCACATTATTACTTATAGTAATAATGGCTGGAAGTCATACAATAATAATAGCCATTAATTTCCCTACAGTGTCTTTCTTTTTGTATAGCTTGGAGACTGTGATGCAGTGAGGTGGGAATCCTTCACCCAAGTGGTTCACAGAGCACACCCAAGTGAAAGGACCTCTATAAGGTGACTCACAAGGTCATGACAGAGTCTGCAGGGCACAGCCCCTGTGGACATTGGATTAGTGAATGCAGCTCTAAATGAAACAAAATAAAACGACTATCCAGTCTATTTTTACACATTTTTTTTCCCCCATGTTGGTCAAGTTTTTTGTTTCCAGAATGTTTTGCTCTGCTGGTAAGGAACTTTAATAAAAAAATTGGAAATTGTGTTAAGCCTCACAGATTTTTATTTGTTTTGATTTACTTTTAGGGCAGTAAGGTAAGGTAGTATTTCCAAATTTTGAAAACACTAAGAAAGCAAAAGAGATTGGAGGGTGTAGGGAGGAACAGTAGGATTCTAGAAGAGTAGGCAAGCAAGAGGATAGTATTTTAATATACTTTGTTCAGTAGCTAGAAATGAAGAAAAAAGGAAAAATGTCCCTATTAGTTTTCAAATGTCAGTTAAAAGGCTGTTCTTTTCACCGCAATTTTTAAAAGAGCAAAAACTGCTAATCTTAATAATGTGTGCGTTGCATCCCATTTCCATGCAAAACAGATTTTTATTTTCATTTCTTTGGAAAAGAGTGTAGGAAACAATCTGTAGTCCCTGTTCAATGCTGGAGAGGATCCTGAAAGTGCTCTGAGCTGTGTGTAGCCTGAACTTCTATTGAAAGAGCCTAGTTGTATGGTGGAAATCAGGTTCGTGTCTTTTCCATGGAGCACAGCTGGATTAGGAAAGGTTCTAGTTTAAATCACCTATGTTTGCTTTCTGATAAATCTCTTTTTTTTTTTTTTTAAAATTTTTTTTTTTTTTTAAAATTTTTTTTTTTTTTTAAAATTTTTTTTTTTTTTTGACAAACAAGAGTTTCTTTTGACATTGCCCTGCATACAACCAGGGCAATGGTTGTATGATGCCAGGCATCTCGTCCTCAGAGCAAAACCGTTGGCTTCCCATCCTCTTGGCTGTTTGTAGGATTGGATCAGTCTAAGGTGGCAGACTTTGGCCTGAAGATTGTGTAAGGAAGGCACATGCATACACATGAAGGTCAAGATTAACGCCTCAGCCATTGCAAATACATCGACATATTTTTGTGGTGACAACTTAGTGGTTGGATCCTGGCAGTGGTTGTCAAGAAAACACAGAGCAAGGAGGGAAAACAGACTTCACATTTGCATTTCAGATTGTTTAAGAGGAGATACTTCTGGCTCTTAAAATTACCACATGCCAACATGTTGCATTGTGCTGCACTAACACTGTTCTGGCATCCTCACTATTGTCAAGCATTCCTCCCTAGGGCATACTTGAACCATATTATTTTCATCTAAGTTGAAATTCTGAGGTTTGATTAATCTGTTTTTTATCTTCCTTACCAGACTCTGGCCTCAGATGCTATATTAAAATAGGGCAGGAATGAAAAGTTTGTCTAAACTTTTTTATTCCCGAGCCCATCGTCTGTGCTCACATTTTGGACACCCTTAAACACGGTGTCTCGCTCAACGCAGCCTTCAAAATTTTTGGCAGTGGCACCACCCAACATTTCCAGGAGAGCCTACTCCATCTGCAGTTTTAATTGGCGCACTCAGCCTCGTCAGACAGCAGTCTCTTGCTGCCCTCCTCTCTCCAGGCTGCTGGCTGGGGGTGCACAGCGGCTGTAGCACCAGGGGTTGTGCTCGGGCCACCTGGAACCTCACCACTGTGAGTTGCACCTCGGGGACCCCTTTCCCAACAAGCCATCACCCTGTGGACAGTTGTTCTCATCCCATCCAGGCATGTTAACCCACTACACGGTGTGAGCTGTGTGTCCAAGCCCTTGCACACCCACCCTGGGTGGCTTGGTGGTCGGGATGCCCGGTCTGTTGCCACTCGTGACTTGCAGTGGTGAAATAGAAGTGACTGAACACGGGGACATGTGCCTTCACCCCTCCACTCTGGGGTGGTAGATGCTAGCACCAGTACACCATCCTCATCTCCCGCTG